ATAGCATCTCACTTCCATATTAATGTTAGGCACATCGCTACATATAGCATCTCACTTCCATATTAATGTTTGGCACGTCCCTACATATAGCATCTCACTTCCATATTAATGTTAGGCACATCGCTACATCTAGCATCTCACTTCCATATTAATGTTTGGCACGTCCCTACATATAGCATCTCACTTCCATATTAATGTTTGCCAGATCGCTACATCTAGCATCTCACTTCCTGATTAATGTTTTCTGTGACTAAGAAAATTTATTAGTTATTTGCATTGACAATTTTAGCTCAAACCACACACACACTTTCCTTCTGACAAAGATGTAGTAACTAAAGCTTGCAGAATGTATATAAAATAACATCCTTAGTGAAGTTTCACGTATTTGTTTATTTGCTAAGCGCAAAGCTTCACAATGGGGTATCCTATCTGTGCCGTGCACGAGTAGTCGGAACCCGGATTTTAGCGTTATAAGCCTTCAGACTTACTGCTGAGCTACTGTGTGATCATTTCATAACTTGATTTTTTTAAATGAAATTTACTTTGATGCAGTACAATTTACCCCCCAGTGGCACAGCGGTATGTCTGCGGATTTACAACGCTAGAAACTGGGTTTCGATACCCGTGATGGGCAGAGCACAGATAGCCCATTGTGTAGCTATGTGCTTAATTTCAAACAAACAGTACAATTTGCTCTAACGTCCCCACTTAAACATTGCGGCATGATCACGTCCCTGTAAAAACAATAAGTTGTTTTTTTACACACCCACCCTGTAATATCAGGTTGTGCGTATTGCAAATTCTTTAAGAAACTTCATTAACTACATACATAAAATACAAAACTTGATCCTAAAGAAGGCTTTAGAATTTACATGACTTACTAAATAATAATTCTTAACACACAGCACCGAACAAGAACATTTAAACATTTTTCATATAAAAACAGTTTAAGCCGGTTGTTTGTTGTTAAGCGCTGAGCTACATGATATTGTATTTATTGCAGGCATCGACCCCCGGATTTTAGCGGAATAAGTCCTTAAGCTTACCGCAGTATACAGGAAAACACTGTAGAAGTTACACTGTCGTACTTTGCTATTTGTGTAGATAGAAACTGCGAGGTTACGTGAAGGAGATCATTTTAAATATTTTGCACCATGACACTATAATGAACATAAATATTCAACGTCTATACACTAGTTTGTTTTTGTTCTTGTTAAGCGCAAAGCTATACAACGGGTTAACTATGGGCTATCTGTGCTCTGCCCACCTTGAGTATCGAAATCTGATTTTTAGAGTCGTTAGCCTACAGCCTTACTGCTAATATACTGGGGACGAGTTGGAGGGGTATATGCTAGGAACATAAGTCTTTGTCCCCCAGTGGCACAGCAGTATGTCTGCGGACTTACAACGGTAGAAACCGGGTTTCGATAATCGTGGTGGGCAGAGCACAGATAGCCCTTGTGTAGCTTCGTGCATATTTAAAAAAACAAACACACAAAAGTCTTTTAAAAAATCGCCTGGAGACTAACAAATAAACATTCTTTTAGAAGAACAAAAAAAAAAACAACAGATGCATATATTATACTAATGTAATAGATCATTAATGCCATGCTTTTGGATAATATGTATGAAAATGTATTATGGTCTCATAGCTTCTTCTAATTCCTGGTACAATCTTGGACATGATATGTGTTGTTTCTATGAACACAGGCATTGATGCGGTTGAATAAAAGCGAATAATCATGGTATGTACAAGTTTAAAACATTACAAAGAAAATTTACTCATGACAAAATATACGTGTTCTTATAAACTGATTTTTATTTTTTATAAGTTATAAAAAAAGTATTAGCAAAATGCAATAAAAATACATATTTACTCCTAAACATTCGTCGTGATGGTTTGTGGGAGAAATGCCAGTGAGAAATGGATCAGCGAATTTAAAAAATGTCACAGTTATATAAAATAAAGGTACCTGCGTGACTTAGCCTTGGTAGTGGTGTTTTTTATTTTTATTTTTTTATTTTTTACAATAGGATAGAATAGTGCAAACTCTAGAACATAAACGACGAAGTAACCTTGGCAACAAGACAGATGATGGTTCATTTGGATTGCGAAAAATAATTAATTTGCCAGTAAATTTCCAAGAGGCCTATTCATTCCTGAGGTCGAATATATCTCTTAGAAATTTGTCAATTTCTTTTTAAGGCATCATTTATATCGCACTTAAATAAAGCGATAGCCCCAGGGACAATCAGTCCAGCTTGGCATTGACGTTAAAAGAAGGAACAAAATGTGTTGAACACTTGTGATAATTTAAAAAACATTTCCAGACTACAGTAGCCTATACTTTACTATAAATATTGATATAAAAAAAGAACAGAATTTACGTGGAAAAGAGCTCAACTCTAACGGCAGGTTAAATTCTTGCCAGTTAATTTTTTGCCATTTTAATTAACTAACACAACTATGGAAATAAAATGATTAACATAATCTTAATCGACACAAATATGGAACTAAAACGACCGATGTGTCACCTTGATTGACACAGGTATGGATCCAAAGTGACCAATGTGTCATACTGGTCATCACAGCTATAGATCCAAGGTGACCGATGTGTCACCTTGATTAACATGGCTATGGATCCAAAGTGACCTATGTGTCACCTTGCTCGACACAGCTATGAGGCCCGGCATGGCCAGGTGGTTAAG